CGCAAGCGCGCGTCGCTCCCAAAGGCGATTCTGCTGAAAACATCAAGAACGAACTCTTGAGGGGCTTCGTGTTCCGACATTTTGCGTTTCATTTTCTTCTTCTGTCTTCGTAGCGTTCTTGTGTGGCTTTCTCCCGTCAACCTTCGAAGGCTCCGAAGGCTTCAAAGATCTGGTTGAGAAAGAGTCATGGCCCGCTCTCAGTCCTGCCTCTATGTCTTGCTCCAAAGTGCAGTTGCGTGACTCCAATGTTTTGGAGATCCGTGTTGCGCCAGTGTGAGGACTGTACTTAGTGTTTGGAAATTTTAGGTCGTTCCGGAAATTTAAGACAAGTATACTTGTCAACAACGTTTACCAACGTTTTTAATTTTGTTTTGTTTGAGATTGAAATGTTGCAGACCAATTTTAGCAAATATGAACAAAAAATTGATTCAAAGAAACCCAAAATGCGATACCACTCGGTGCAGTCCCTGGCTGTTTTCGTTCATAGCGTAAGTCTTTCTGTGCTCCGAGACCTTCTAGGACAGCTTCGAGGCCGATTGGCAGGCACATGATGTCTGATCACATGCGTGAGGGCTCCGAAGCCCACGGCTGCGAGAGTGATCGCGACTAGGGTTGCGTAACAGAAGTGTCCCAAAGTTCTCGTTTGACATTGCCGAGTGTCCAGGGTTCGTCACTTGACATTGCCAAAACGCAGCATGAATGGGATTTGGAGTTTTGAAAATTCCTGGAGTAGCTCGATGTTCCACGAGTGTGGTGAGCATGATGCAGTTGTGCCTTGCCGTTCGCATGTCAGGCATGAGGTTCCCATGAACAGCAGTAGCCACTTTCACACCATATCATCAGCTCTAATGACATTGCTAATATGTTGGAGAAATCTTTTCAGCGGTATCTCGATTTGGTATGTGTGTTTTGAGAACTTGGAAAGCAGTTCAGTTTGGTTTTCGGGTTTGTGCGACATTTCATCGGCATGCTCAACCATTAGTTTTGTGAAGCAGGTTTCTCAGTTTCATTGCTTTTTGCACATGGTTTTCTTCCGAAATTTGGTCATGTTTCAATATTGATGAACGCCTACGAAAGCCCCGGCCGGCACCTGACCCTTTGGCTTTTAGTGGGACTCGTCCCCGTGAAATTGCGGAAAAGTTTGAGGGACCTTTGCGTAACCGTAGCAAAGCCGCCGTCCTGAAGCGCATGTCCATCGGACCTCATGTTTGATATTTTGTATTCCTGAGAGTTGCAGGGATGCCATGTGCAATGGGATGAAAGGCTTTGCCCATGGTTCATGATGATGCTGCAGGCAATGCAGATTCGGCACAAATTGATGCGCCACCTTGATCTGCACATGGATTCGTGCAGGATCTTCTGCTGGTTTGCAGAAGTGGAGATTCCAATCGTTTCGGCCCGGTCCTGAGTCATCCGTTTTGGCTGTTACTGCAGACCGGATAGGGTGGATTGCAAAGATGAGGTCCGTCTTCTCGGACCTGAAAAGGCTTTGGTGCCCCTGTGGTTCTGTGCCCGCAGATGAAGAAGCGCCGGCCGACAACACAGAGGTGTGAGCTACTTCGAGACTTGACTTTCCATGTTCTGCAGATCGATCTCGTGAAGGTTTTTTCAAAGTGGCGCTGTTGCCCTCGACGTTTTCAACAGACAGGCAATGTGCCCGCAGTGATCTCGCTGCAATTGCGGATTTGCTGCTTCTGAAGGTGAGGACGAGACAGCAAGCCCAGGAGCAGCTGGTAGTTCTTGACCAAGCCAAGTTCCGTGTGGTTCAAGTTGAGTCAAAGGACCTTCGCCGCGGCCGCATGGCAAGAGTCGAGGAGCAGTCGGCTTTTTTCGGGCGGGTATCAGTCACTTTGCCTGCCCAGCATGTGTTTTCCTGACCCAGGATTTTTCACCACTTCGAACAGCTTCTGCAGCGCACCCTCCTCTGCTTCTGCTGGTGGCGGTGACGAGCCGCAGCCTTGGAAACGTGAGTGCTCAAGCGACATGCACAGGCTGTCCCTGCGGATCTTTCGTTGTCTAAGTTTGCTACCTCAGCCACAATTCAATCCAGAAGAATTTCTTCGACATGAATGTCAATCAGATCTGGTAGACAGGCCGGCTTATGCTTCGGTACACATCATGTGCTGCACTCTGTCAAATGCACTTCCACAGGTTCCTACAAGATTATCGCAAGTTGGCTGCGTACGAGGTGTCTTCGCCGTCAGAACTGCTGTAGCCAAACGACCTGTTTGGGAAGTGCTATTGCTGTTTGCAGGCTGCCACAAGCGCATCCGCTCGCGCGGAGGTCCGACCTTAGCTCACGCCGTAGCTGGATCATGCTGCTGCAGATTTGCTGAACTTTCACCTGCATTTTCTGTACTGCAGGAGGGTGTGCTTACACGGGAAGTGACGGCTGGATTCAAAGCAGAGTCGTGCTTTCACTTCATCTTCACTGCATCTTCTCCCATCGGCCCGTGGGATGAGGTGCAGTCCTTTCCGAGTCAATCGCCCAGTCGGTCGCAGTCTGTGTCCGGGGCTAAGAGCTTCCAAAACAGTCCGAGTGGACACTTTGCTGATGTCTCCATGTCCCTCCGTTCCTCCGGTCATCTTCTCTTCTGTGAATCTCTGCCTCTCCACCTGTCAGGCTGCATCGATTTCAGTCCGTCGAGGTCCAGTTGTTGGCCTGTTGCATAGCGTGGTCCTGCACTACAGGGGCCTGTTTTCTTTCAGCAGAGAGTGCAGACTGCTTCATATGGAAACCCTGTTTACCGTTGTTTTTTTGTGATGTGCCAGGTGTTGGCAGACGATGGCGACGGAGAGCAGGAAGTGATATTGGTTCGGTTCGACAAACTGGTGAAAGAGCCGCACATGCCACGAGGAGCCCGAGTCACCGTCTACATTTGTGCAGGGACAGGCCCTGTCAGTCGCTGCTGCTATGAGTGATCAGAGACAGGGTTGTCGATACTCGTTCCATCCACGGATCAGTACGAGCAGCAAACACGCAAGTGCCTTTCTTCAGAATTTGGCTTGCAAGATTGCACACTCCAGTGGGACAGCAGGACAGACCAGCGACAAAAATGCCGCAGGGCAAGCACAACGAGATTTTCGCTCCAAGTCTCATTGATTGTGCATAACCTTTCTGCTTTCTGCAAGGATGCAAGGATGCAAGGATGCAAGGACAGGCAGCTTCGAAAAACAAACGAAAACCCTTATTTATTTGCCTTCAAGCACTTCCAGGGATTAGACATTCACAAGAGCTGGGTAAGCGCTCTTGTCCAGAGCCCATGCAAGAGCTCCTCAATTCCTCTTTTGTGCAAGACACGTGAAGACGTCGCTGCAAAGACCCAAGGGTTTTTGAACAATGGGGTCGCTTTGCAATGGGCTGGCAGGCGACCGAGCACACGGCATCGGTATCAGAAGAAGCAGCTGAAGCAACTGCTTCCAACTCGGGAAGTTATCGTCGGATGACCTCGTTGTGATGCCGCTGTTGGGAATCGCAGGTCACGGAGGCAAGCCCGTCGCCAGTATCAAGGATCGTGCCTAAGCCTGCAGCCATCTAACATCCTTTCCGGAAATCCATGAAGCATGCAAGGATGGACGAAGGCATGCCGGCTTGTTGTGCGCAAAACCTTGCAGGGATCTGCTCTGCGAAGCATTGGCTGACTGGGTTTGGCAACATCGTGGCCAGGAAACAGTGTTGCGAGCCTGCGAACACCGCGGGCAGAGGCCTTCTTTGTCACTGGAAGTCCGGCAGACATCACTCTTCTGCACTCTCTCACAGCCGTGCCTGCATCAGGCCTCTGCAGAGCCCGAGGCTGGCAAGCCATTGATCTGTGCGTAACCAGGGACACTCCTGTGCCAGGTGCCCGCTGAGTCAAATCCGGAAAGGACGACCTCCCTGCCCGTCCAAAGCGACGAGTCTCCAAGGACGGCATCAAAGGAACCTTTGAGTGACAGCTCACAAAGCCCTGAGCTGTCACAGCCGAAAGCGAACAGAGGGTCAGCAAGCAAGCCCTCCAGCCTGCGAATGAAATCAGAGCCTCTCAGACCACTGCTGGAAGTGGAAGAGGGTGCCGGCGCTTTGATCTCCCCGGTGACGATTTCAACCATTCAGTCGATCCCGTCACCCAAAGCGAAGCAGAAGCACCTCGTCTTCATGGTCGACGGAGAGGCCCGTCCGACAGCTGCGCAAAACAGAGAGCGAGAGAGAGAGTGGCGCCTTTTGCCCTAAGCTTCAGTCAGGAGCTTCAGATCCTCGGCGTCGACAGCCGGGAGGCAAACAACATCCCTCCCGAGGCGACGGCTGGCGAAAGGCCGTGGCCGAGAAAGGCTCCGTGGGGCCTGTGGGTTTTCAGGAGAGCCCAAGCCGGAACCGGCCAGCGGCGGGTGCTGGGCCACTGCCTCCACCCGAGGCGGCTTCACCGTCGCTCGGAAACCCTTCAGCTTACTGTAATGCCTCTGCAGGAGAAGCCATGTGAGAGCGGCTCCGGCCCCGGCCCCGGCCCCGGCCCCCCGAGGGTTTGAACCTGGCTCTCCTTGAAGCCAGGTACGGCACACTCGGATGAGAAGGACCATCCACTCACAAGTGCAAGTACCGTGCAAGTGTCTTGTCTGCAGGATGTCGTGATCCCAGTGGAGGAGAGAGATCAAGCACTGTTTGGTTTCTCGGTACTTGCCAGATAGGATAAAAGAGTCAACTGAGCTAAAGTGTGCAGGACGAGGACACGAGACTGCGTCCCACCACGAAGAGGCCCTGCCATGCTGGTAGCCCATTTGCACGGGTGGCATTGATGTGAAAAGACAGGTCTCTGCACAAGGTGCTTTTCCCAGCTTCAGCGATCCCCTTCGCCCAGATTGCCAAGTGGGCTTCGGATCCCAAATGCGCTTGACAACATCTCGCCACTCTAATCACAATCGGCCCGGCAAACGACAAGTCAAGAACATGTTGTGAATCCCGGATTCAAACACGGTGAAGGGTTCCATTTTGGCGTCATTTGTGGCAGCCGGAGTATCGCCGAGATGAAGAGCGACCAGGTGCTCACCTCCTGAGAAGCACTGTGTCGAGGACTCTCCTCCGGACCCTCGCTGCAGGCAGAGCCTGGACGAGTGCACAGCGAGTCAGCGAGCGCAGCGTCGGAGGCATCATATCCAGGGTGACGAAGAGGCGCTGGCTGCTCTGGAGGCGGGTACCTAGAGACTTCGAAGCCTTGTCCCTACACTCCCCGCCCGCGTCAGGTGGCGTCTTGGCCTCCAGCCAAGATGCGAGTCGTGAAGGACCTTTGGACATGTCTAGACATCTTTGGACTTTGAACGGGCCGTTTGCTCTGCTCAGCCTTGCTCTGCATTTGGCTGTAGGATCCAGATCCTGTCCATGATGGCTCCTCGCCGACCTATCAGGCGCCGAGGCCCTGCAAGCAACTCACTGTATCTCATTATCTCCCGTGGCAGGACATCACCCCATTGCCATCACCTCCGGCTGCTCCCGCCACGCCGCTGGCGGTGACGCCGTTGCCCGCGCCTGTCACACCTATCACACCAGTCACGCCTGTCACGGCTGCAAGCCCCGGTCCGTCAAGGAGCAGGCGGGACCGGGACCTCGGAGATATGCCTCTGCCTCTGCTTGTGTGGAAGTTCGAGGATGGCTGGAGCTGCGGCAGCCGCTGCGCGTCCGTCCCCTTCTGAATTGCGGGACTCCAGTGCTGGGCTTGTCCTCCGAGGTGCTGCGGCGGGAGCCCGACAAGCCATGGCTGTTGCAAGCCGAGTGTCAACAGCAACAGGAGGAGTCATAGAACGACAGTGACGTTACTAGTAGCTGGGAAAGCACCAGCACGAGTCTCGGCAGGAGCTGCGTTGGCGACCTTGGTGAGCCCGGAGGTGTCATCAGGACCGCAGTGAAGAGAGCGGGCTCAGCGAGGCTCATAGACGAGTTTGCAGGCACTGTCCACATCACATGTTCCCCAAAGCGGACGTGTGGGTAGCCTTTGTAACGGCTTCTGCCCGCATCTGCCTGCAGGAGGGACGGACCGCAGGAATTCGGTGTTCAGTGGACGGTTTATGCCGCTGTCGCTGTGGGCACAAGCAGAGAGTGAAGGACTCAGCATGCTAGACTCCCAGACCTTGACATGATATCAGCTACTCTTTGGCTGTCTTCAGGTGCCACACCGCCAGTTTCGGGTCCCGGTTCCCCTGATCAGGCCAAGGACGTGGCCGTGACCCGCAGGCCACTTCTTCAAACTGCACCTGGAGTGTGAAGCAGGACGAGTACAAGATCGGTGATTTGGAGGCTATGGACAAGCCGGATGCAGGTGCGATTGTAGCATTCCCGCACATCCTGGCAGCTCAGAGTGACATGATTGCAGGACAGCATGTTCACGAAGGCGATGTCTATGCCGCCGGCGAGTGTGCAAGCAGCTGCGATGTGAGGCGAGATGGCCAAAGTGCCGCGGGGCGGTCGAATTTTGTTGGGCCATGCCTGCGTTCATGTCTGCTCAGATTGGAGATCAAGCCCGCGGAGACTTGCACTCCGAACTCGGGGTCGGAAGCGGGAGCTCGCCAAGAGGCCTGAAAGAAGACAGCTCCGAAAGAGACGCAATGCAGAGCAACGCAGAGCAGTTAGAGGTCTCCAAGTCTTCGCTGCCGACCCCACCGATGGCTCCTGCGGAACAGAGAGCATCTGCAAGGGGTGCGTCGGCGGAGAGCTTAACAAGCAGCTAGCTATGCCCAATCATGCCTGTGATCAGCTGGTGAAGTGGATGCACTCATAACCTTCCAGGCACATGCAGAGTTCAGCTTCACAAACAGATACGACTGGACTGGCAACGAACCCTCAAGACATTAAGGCTCCGCCAGATCCCTGCCGGGGAAAGGCTGCAGAGGCACCGCACGACTTAATGCAGCTAGAATATTCAAAGACGGCAGAGCGCAGCATGATGTCTTTCTGCATGCAGGCTGATTCATCTCCAATACCCCGTCCAGCGCTGTCCTGGCTCGGGTTCGATCAGAAAATGTAGCAAGCTCTGATGCTCCGAGAATCTGCAGCCTGCGCAGACTTATTGGTTGCATCGTCACGGCAGGTCTGCTGAAGTTATCAATGTCGAGCGTGGAAGGTTGGTTTCAGGCAACTTGGCAGCTTGCAAGATTTACGCGTCAGTGGCACGCGATGCTACTGCAGTCTCTCATCAGACCAGAGCCGTCGTAGGACCGGAGTGGTTTTTGTTGCGCAGATGACACTCGAAGGAGGCTCCACTGAGTCATCGCCGCAGGTGCAGAAGGCGCTTTCTTGAACATTCTAAATGCTGGCCTGCGCACTCGTTGCAGCAGGAGTGGAGTTCTCCGTATAGTCCCCGCACTCCGGTCAGGGGTCGAGGCGCATGGGCTCTGTGATGGATCATGGCATTTCGCAGTGCGCCAGGCAGCGCACCATCGTCAGCGACACCATGTAGTCCATTGTCTCCGTCAAGCGTGTCAGACGTTTCCTTAGACTTGTCATGATGCGCTGCTTTGATCGATGGAGTCTGCGACCGTGCCTACTTCTCAGGAATCTAATGGACACGACCAAAGCCCTGTGCGATTTGATGTCTCTTTCTCGGCATCGCTGGACCTTGCCGTTTCTCCTATGCTGACAATTCCACGAATGTCGGCGCTATGGCTGGTGAGGTTCCGAAAGTGACGCAGTCTTTGTCACAGCCGGCTGCTGAAGTTGCTGACCACAGTCTGGACCGTCACCAGCTAGCGGTCTAAGGTCTTCCTATCCGACATGCACGCGCACACACACCGAGGCTACTCCTTGATCTGAATTTGCTGAATTTAAATTGAGCCGTGCAAGCAGGTTGCCGATGAGACGGAGGTTCTGGAGGACATTCTGATGCCAGCTCCATTCGCAGATCACGAGGACGTACACGGCCGGTGACGGTCAGAGCGTGTCTTCCCTTTCAAGCTGCCTCTCGGAGGAACGGGTTTCGACTGTTCCAAGCGCTGCGACTGAAAAGCAGGCAGAACATCTCTGTCTACATCTACATTCCTTTTTCTTTCTCTCGCTCTCTCTCTGTCTCTCT